GCACAATTTAATTACTAAACTTAAATTATCAATTAATTCGGCTCGGACTATTTGAACTTCTAATATGTAACACCAGCATTAAGTGAGCAGAGATGATTTACAAACCCTCCAAAATATTAAAAAGCTTTGAATTGTAGTCAAACTTCTCACATTTGACACAAATGAAACACACCTACAATTTGAGACATTGTATTATCATAGTAAATCAAAAAAACGATTTTTAGAAACAATAGTATTTATTGTAAAAAACTTACTACACATTTCAATAGTACCTCAGTCTATCTCCTTCATTTTTTGTTAATTTACTACTGTATTAGTATAATGTGCTTCCCTACACAAACAAGTACTTTCCATTATCTCCTTATCCTGAAATAAATCATGTGTAGTAATAACCACAGAATCTGGAAAAGATGAACAAACTGTAGTTTATTCTACAAGGAAATTCTTCAGCATATCAAGCCACCTATTGTGGCATTGCACAAACCATGAATTCTAGCATGTCTTCTACGATTTTTCCTGGCCTTCAGGAACAACAAAAACCTAGCCTACTGTAGTCCTGCATGATAGAACATATTTCTGAAGCATTTGACAAATTTTGGGACATCATTATACAAAAGGTTTTCTGAAGACACCATTAATCAGATCTGAAACATATGCAAAATATATGACATGATCTGTATGTGGGAAAAAAAAGAATATCATGCCTTCACTATATAATATGCATCATTAGTATCAATGATGATCACATTATTAAAACAAATGTTTTACTCCTGGGCAAGTTATCAGTGCTTGAGAGAAGGTGCTGTTGTTTATCTTATGCAGGAAGATATTATTTGCTAATTAAGCAAGGATCCTATCCTCCTGATCTGTTTCAAGTGGCACCAGCAAGATACTTAAGATTTGTTTTGTTTGTTTGTTTGTTTCAAATTAAGCACAAAGCTACACAATGAGCTATCTGAGCTCTGTCCACCATGGGTATCAAAACCAGGATTCTAGCATTGTAAGTCCATAGACATACCACTGTGCCACTGGGGGGCAGATATTTAGAAATCCACCCTCTTCATAAATCACTTCATAGGAGATTGTAGCCAGTTACTTGTCAAAAAGTAGTTCCTTCAGTTTTTGTTTTTCAAATGAACATGCATACCTAAGTACTGGTCCTGAAGTTGATACTGACTTCAGATAACACCACCCTTTTTTAACATATTCCTTAAGCACATCTTCAACTAATAAATTAATGTACTTGTTTGTATTGAAGGAGGTGTCTTTTTTTGACATGGTAATTTTATTTACAAAACAATTCAGAACATTCATTAGCACTTATTAATGAAATGATATTAAAACCAGAACAGGTCAGCTTTTAGAAATTGAGGTATTAATTCTATTCTTATAGACAGGAGTATGAAGGTATTTGTTAGAGAGCACTCTATCTTCATGGATATCACATCCTCCCATAATCCCACCCAGAATAATTTTAGACAGCTTCCCAGATGTTTGTTTTGTGATTTTGTTAACCAACCAAGGAATATCAAAGAATAGATAATAATAGTTTGTAATCTTTTGATGTTTATTTGATTTTTAAAAAAAGTAAGAAAAACCTATCTAGTTGTAGAAAAGTTGACATTAAGTGAGTCAAGTATGCAATTAAAGACAGTGATGGTTTAAAGGCATTGGAATAATGGAGTAACAGTTGAAGCAATATGATATAATGTGTGCAGACAACATATTTATATCCCAGAAATGTACAAGATCATATGAATACTACAGGTTAACAATAAAGAAGATGAACTTGAATAATGACAATAATAACCAAATTAATATTTGAACTGATGCAGGAATAAGGAGTAAAGATTGAGGACTGTTAATAAGACAAACCTCCAATTTTACCCACTTTCACCATTGGTAAGTGAATCGATCCCATTGTTCTTTAATGCAATGCACCGTAAATTAGAGACTAATTGCAAGTAAACCAGAAGTAAAGGAAACACAGAATACAAAACTGATACTGTTTCTCTAAACGAAATTTGGCAATTTCTATAAAAATCCACATATATTTAAACTTTATGCAGTCATGGAATACCCTAAAGAGTGTTTTAACACTTTAAAGCCCAGTGGTTGGTGGTATAAAACCACCTCTGACCTTCCAATGATAAAAACAAATAACACATAAAGTCACCTTAACTGAAGCAAACACATCAAACAAATGGCATGATAACTATAGGACCATTTAAAATATAAATTTGATTTTTTTTATCTATTTCTTATTTATGATACAATTCTAAAACCAATACATAACATATCTATTTACTATACCATTACAGATGACCCACGTAAGCGTTAGCCCAAACGCCAGTATTTGTGTGTGTGTGTGTGTGTGTGTATATATATATATATATATATATAGTACGTCGGCCT